CCGAGCATCCACATCCAGCCCCCAGCAGGTGCTGCTTTTGGAACCCTGCCTTGCGGAGGGCAGTGTTGGTGAGAAGATGTTAACCAGAAGTTCAGCCACCCCTGATAGAGAACTGCAGTCTTGCTCTGCTTTCTCAAGAGGCATTTACCTCTCTCTGGACCCTAATTCTGCTCGTGCCCAGATCTCAGTTCACAGACAGAGCCTAGAGGAGGAATGTGGAAGAGTGTCCGAGCAGACCCATCAGTTCCCTGTACTGAGGGAAAGAGAATGTTGCCCCATATGGAGTTGGAATTTTTAATGGAACCGGAAGGAGATTGCCTATCTGAGCCTACTCTGACTGATGTTCGTTCTACCCAAGTTCTCCTTACAAGGTAGAAACAGATGATTGTGACCTAGTATAGTTGTGAAGATGGTCTTGGAAAGAAACAAACATCACTATATATACTGATTTTGGGTCACACCTGGCCATGCTTAGGGGTAAGTTGCTCCTGGCATCAGAAATTACTCCTGGCAGTGCTTGGGGAACCAAATGGGATATGAGAAATTGAATCTGGGTTGGCTGCTTACAAGGCAAACGGCCTACCTGCTATACTAACACTCCAGCCTAGAGCATCACCACCTTTATCCTATGTGTGTCCCAAGGTTCTTCATTTTACCAGAAGAGCAAGGGCTATGTGATATTCCCATGAAGATGCAGCTTGACCTTCCCAACCATGACTCTCATTTCGCAGCCACATCAGATGAGTCCTGTCCTTCAGGTCTAGAGTGTTCTCTGCTGAAACTTCAGACTCCAAGACTAAGAGAGGGACCAGGCTGACCTTTTTTGCTTGATACCAAGATCACATCTTGACTACATCTTGACTACATCTTTATGATGTTGATGTGCTCTGTGGATTAATTTAGGGTTTGGGGAAAAGCCTGCTTTCCCCCCAGTCATTATTAATTGTTTACCTCTTAATTTCTATGATTCAGTAATTGGTCTGACCTATCAGCCTTCCAAAGCTATACTGAGTCTCAGTGCTGTCCCAGTTTTTAGGCATTGGGGTGAGGCTCAAGCTGACGTCTGTACCTGTCCCATCACTGCCCCTTAAACTGTGAATACCTCTTTGTCTCCAGTCACTCCTTCTTCCAGTCACCGTCTCTGTAATAGACATAAAGTCAGGTAAAGCTTTTTAAAATGAAACCTCTCATTCCTTTGATTGTTCTGCACTGCTACAATGAAATCTTTAACTGCATCAGTTTAAAGAGACCCTAAGTACCTTCTAGTCCCCTTTCTTGCTCCTTATACTTTGCCTTGGCTTATATGCTCACTGATGCCCGTCGCTTGCTCTTTGTACCTCCCTCCCTTTTCTTCTTCACAGCTCTTTCTCGTTCTGGAATGTTCTCCCTTTCTTCTCCATTCTTCCAGGTGATTACAGTCCAACTCAAGTTTTCCTTCTTTATGAAGTGTCACTTCCCATCTCCTGGGCCACATAGACTTTGCCCCTGTTGGAACATTGACCGCTGTTTACTGTCTGTCACTGTCACTGTCCCTCAGCTCCTGCTGGTGTTAGTGGTCATTGTCCCTTATGAGTTGTGCCCTTCCCTTCCCCACAAGCTTATGGAACATCGTATTCCACTTTTGTTCCTTCCAATGGTCAGCAGAGTAGGTGTATATTAAGTCCTTTCTGAGAAATGGATGGGTTCTTTTTGTTGATTATTAAATAGCTGAGTGACCTTTGGTTAGAAAAGTATGCACTTTTCCCCAGCCCCTGTTTTTCCTTCTTGTTGTATTTCTTAAGCATAACGTGAACTTAGGATGCCATTACCTCCACTGTCTTATGTAGTTGATAATTTGGGAGAACTGAAATGAATAACCTTTTCTTTGGTTGTAAAGCAAGAAAGAGAAAGGGACTATATCAGACCTATGGATAGGTAGTATTCTGTTTCTCTAGGGATCCTGTTTCTGAATGTGTATGTGCATAGTGCTATCTGAATGTATAATATATGTATATAATACTGTTCATGATATATATATTATATAGGTAAGGTAAAGGTAAAGGCCCTCCCGTTGATCGTCGATTTGCTCGAGCGGGCCCAGTAACGTCTCCATTGGAGACTTTGTTGTTACTGTGTCTGGCATACTGAATACTCGGTAGCTTGCCGGGCTCTCCGAGAGGGGCGGAGGAATCGAACTCGGGTCGGCCATGTTGGCCGCGTGTAAGGCAAACGCCCTACCCGCTGTGCTATTGCTCCAGCGGGTATATATATTATATGTTTATATTAATTACAAAACTAATTTCTAATTTGAGGATCAACTTTGCTACATTATCACTATAGGTCATGTGAAATACGAAGAAACCTTGAGAAAGTACATTTCTATGGTAGATTAAATATTGCCACCTTCTGTTAGCTATGAGAAGTACCATTGGCTTTCAAGAGAACATCTTGTGTTCCTTTGCTTTCAAAGATAACTATCAGTAAATTTTTCTTTGTCAGTGGTAATCAACTATTTAAAAATGTGAGCAGAATTCTAATTCCAGATTTAAACAATAACGTCATTTTTTTTCATCAGACTGTTTTAAAAGGACACACACTGTATGTGTGTCCCTGGTATGCAATGAGTAGTCTTAACTTGAATTTTAAATATATAGAATAAATATAAAGGTTTATGTAATATAGAATAATCTCAAATATCCTAGTTTTTTTTAGAATTTTGGATAAACCAACAATTAGTTTAGAAAATAACTCTACAAGGCCAGCTATTCTGCAATCCAGGTTTCAAAAGAATAATGACTGTAGATAATTTTCTCTAGAAATGTGAACATTTAAAACTTGAGCAGTGATTTGACCTCTGTAACTCTGTTTTTCACTTTTGATACATTTTATTTCTGTTATTTAAATTATTAGTTCAATATATGTATATTTGGCAATAAAGAATATTGCAGTATCTAAAAATGTACTGAAAGTATTATTCCTTTGCACTCTCTATCCTTAATCAACTATGCATAAACATATATGTGCATCTCTCTCATTCTCTCTCTCTCTATAAAAGTTGGTGTGTTCTACAAAAATGACATGACTAACATTTTGTAGTTGCTTCTTTTCATTTTCAGGCCATTTCTAAGTCAGTCTCTAAATATATAAATGTTTATATTCTGAGGTAATTCGTAGTTCAGAGCCTGAATGAGCCATACTTTATTCAGTCATTGCCCATCTGGAAGAGTCATAGGTATTCCAGTTTTACGCTGATTAAAAAATGTTATAATCAACATTCTTGTATGTCCATCATTATGTATAGATATTTTTCATTATGTCAGATTCTCACAGGTAGAAGATCTGGGTCAAAGGTGTGTGTCTTTTAATTTACCTTTTAAATTTTTGCCATTGGAAGATTATTTCTTGTATGTATGTATGTATATATCTAAACTACAGAGCCATGGTAACTAGGACTACAATAATCACACTTAAAATTGTGCCTGTCAAGGAGGCAGTCTTGGGGGGGTTGGGGGAGGGAACCCAGGGACATTGGTGCAGGGAAGTTGACACTGGTGTGAATTGGTGTTGGAACATTGTATGCCTGAAACTCCATTATGAACAACTTTATAAATCACAGTGCCTTAATAAAAAATATATAAAATTAAATAAAAATAATTGTCACACACAAAAGCAAAATATTTCTTGATACCATCTCAGTATTTGGACCTTAAATGGGCATCTTTCTGGTGGTAAGTTCTGTGTGTATGTTCCCTGTCTGAGACTTACCAGCTGCCCCTTTGAGGGCAGAGGAAGAAAGTGCTCACTCCTTTTCAGATGTGGATTAGCTCCTTACCCTCAAAAAGCAAGAAGGGAGTACAAGTGTTAAAATGTCCATTCCAGAACTCTCTATATTTCTAAGTAAAGGCAGATTTGTCCTTCATTTTTGTGACACAGAATCAAGGCAGGAGTGTACATTTAATCATTCCTTCAGAACCTCTTATCATTTATTACTGTTTGCCTTAGGAAAACCCAACGTCTCATATGCAGCCTTACAATAATGAAAGTAGGTCTTTGAGTATGTCTTGGATTTGAGTGAGGTGTCCCAGGGAAATGTTTCTGGAGACTTTGCACCCACAGACCATGCCTGACTTTATTCACTGACTCTGATAGTTGATCAGATATCTACAGGACTCTTGGAAGCAGATTAGAGTGGCCCAACCATCTTTACTTGAGCATGCCCTTATTGGCATTAGATACTGGAAAATACTACCATGTGACTTACAAGACTAAACACTACCATTTATAAAATAAAGGCCCTCCCGTTGTTCATCAATTTGCTCGAGCGGGCCCAGTAATGTCTCCATCGTGAGACTTGTTGTTACTGTGTTTGGCATATCGAGTACGTCACGGGGAGCTTGCCAGGCTCTGCCGTGCGGGCAAGTAACTCTCAGTAGATTGCTGGGCTCTCCGAGAGGGGCGAAGGAATCGAACTCGGGTCGGCCATGTTGGCTGCGTGCAAGGCAAACGCCCTACCGTTGTGCTATCACTCCAGCTCACTACCAGTTATATTGATATTTATGTACCTGTTAAACTACAGGTTCTGCTTGGTGTTAAACTTAAGCAGCTTGACACTGTCACCAAACTACAGATTTTGTTTGATATCTCTGACATGAAGCTGTAAGAGACATCTCAAAAAGGATTCCTCCATAGAATGCTCTCTGGCTAAGAAAACGTTCCCCTCATTGGTGCTGGTAAAGAGAAACTCAGTTTGAATATCTAAAATGACGTCGCTCAGTACAGTGTTCCAGTGACTTAAAATTTGTTACCTTCAGGGGCTGGGACTGTGACTCAGCTGCAGGACACATACTTTGAATGTGTGAGGCCCTGGGTTCAAGTCCTGACACTGCAAACAAAACAAAACAAAACATGTAAATATTTCTGCATGTCACTTTTTAAAATGTTTTATGGCTCTCCATGAGATGTTTGATTGTTTCGTGTTCTGAATATAACTGGTGACTGTTCTGTTTTGCTGACCACTGTAGCTTAATGCAATGGCCAACCGGGCTGCAGGGAAAGGCTATGAAAATGAAGACAATTATTCCAATATCAAGTTTCAGTTTATCGGAATAGAGAACATCCATGTCATGAGGAACAGTCTGCAAAAAATGCTGGAAGGTAAACCCATTTCCTTACACACAGTCACCCCCACCCCTGTAACCCCCCATCTAATGCTAAATGGAATTCAGTAGCCTTTTGATTTCAAAATTATGGTTTGTTTGGTTTTGGGGTTTTTTTAAAACTATTTTTTATATAGGTGTGGTAATTTGGGGAATGTAACATATTGAATTGACTTTCAACATTAATAACCTTACTCATTTTTCATTATGTGCCTTTGTGGATTGTTTGTGTTACTTGGTGAGTGGCTGGGCCTTCCAGTGGTGCTAAGATAAAAGTGCACATATTGGGGCCGGAACGATAGTGCAGTGGGGAGGGCATTTGCCTTGCACGAGGCTGACCTAGGTTCAATCTCTGGCATCACATATGGTCCCCCAAGCACCACCAGGAATAACTTCTGAGTGCAGAGCCAGGAGTAACCCCAGAGCATCGCTGGTGTGACCCAAGAAGCAAAAAAAAAAAAGTGCACATATTTTTTCTGTCTTGTAATATAGTTTGATCAAGGCCACATTCAAGGCCACTTGCAGATAAACCTGCTCTACATTTCAATCGGTAGCAAATTGCTTTGTGTGGGTGACTGTTAGAAGGCAGGGTTCAGAGGCCCTGACCCTCATTCCTAAGCAGCAGCACCCATTGCGGTGCCCCCACATAAAAACCAGCCCTACAAAGCAGTGAGCACCTTAAGACACATGCATATTGACTCACAATAATAGTCATGGGGAGAGGAAATAAAAAAGTGGATTATGTCATATAGAAGACTTATTCATGAGACCAAACCTGATATAAGCAGATTATCAGAAATTCTGCATTTCAAGAAAAACTACTGCTTCCTTTATTGCTTACCCTTCTTGTGAATGTAGAGGATCATGGAGGGGTTGGCTCGTGGTCTGCCATCTCTGGTTGCAGGGTAACTGATGGGGTAAAGAAGGGCATCAAATATTTGCCTCTGTGTCTTGGTTATCTGGGAGCTTGATCTGAGTTGGAGTCCGGGAAATATGACTAAGGCTAGGGAAGAAGGGTTGTCCTCATAGGAAGTTGGAGTCCGGAATGGAGGAGGGACAAGCATGAACTGAGTTACATTCTTCTAGGGAGGCACATGTGTTTGATTTACTTAGGCAGTTCTTGCTTAATCAGAACAGGTAAAAGGTAAAGGCCCTCCCGTTGTTCATCGATTTGCTCGAGCGGGCCCAGTAACGTCTCCATTGGAGACTTTGTTGTTACTGTGTTTGGCATATCGAATACGTCATGGGGATCTTGCCAGGCTCTGCCGTGCGGGCGAGATACTCTCAGTAGCTTGCCGGGCTCTCCGAGAGGGGCGGAGGAATCGAACTCGGGTCGGCCATGTTGGCTGCGTGCAAGGCAAACGCCCTACCGCTGTGCTATCGCTCCTATAACAGTGGGGTTGGCAGTCTTGGGTTTCAAACAGGCCTAATTTTCTTTCTCTTTCCTCAATTGCCTGGTTGACAATGGTCACTAGAAACGCTGAACACTGAGTTAACTTCTTGAGATCTCTTTGATTTGCTATAAAATGAGTTGTTTGGAATGATTACTTCTTTGAGTCTTTCCAGTTTTGACAATGTGAATCTATAATTTAATGACTTTGGGTGTCAGCACCAACATTCAGTTTTGAATGGTTAGGACTTGTCCCTCTCCGATCTGAAAATGAAACAAAACCAAAAAACACATCACCAGAGTCATCTTACTTCCATAGGAAATGCGCCTTGTCCCAAGTCACAGTGACAATAGCCTGGACATGATGAGTTGAATTTCTTCAATTTCTGGAGATTATTGCGGGCAGTTTGGCAGTTCCTACTACAAAGCTGTGCTTTTTTTTTTTTTAGGTGATGAGAAAAGTTGGACTAGTTTGATAATAGTATAAAAAGGGCAGTCTGATTATAGTATGAAGAGTGTTCATCATGATCAGGGTCATTAAAAGCTATTTGGGTGGATTTATTTTATATCTTTGATATAGCCGTAAATTCATTAGCTCATACTTGGGAACCTAGATTTTCTTTTCTGCACAAAGTAGCTCCTTAAGAGTACTTGGAACTCACCAATCTGGCTTTAGTATTTCAGTTGGCATTTGTTTGATTCTTCTTCCCCCTGCATCTGTGGTCTGACTCACTTATTCTAAGACAAGCAAACTGATGGATCCTGGAGAGCAGCCTCTGTTGCATAAGGGATCCAGGTGCCTCTGCGCTCCAGTTCCAGCTCCATGTCAGTGCAATAAGCAAGGACAACTTTCTGGATGCTTTTCAGGGGCCTTGATCAATGTTTGACTATCTGTTTTCACCAAGTCAATTATAAACCTCCTGCATAGGCTCAGCTGATGCAGTGATGCAATCAGACCTCCCTTCGGAGGCTTTTCCCTCTTCAAACGGCTGGGCTGTCCTTGGCATCGGAGGAATGTGAAGGTTTGTATTGCTAGTCACTTCATAGAGAGGGGGCTAAAGCATTTCATTCACAAGCATTCCTTCCTTTACTTTCTGTACCACTGCTGTTAAGGGCATCAGGATAGACCCTGCATAACAGAGAAAAAAACCTGTGTGCATTCTGACTCCCAAAAGTCTCTGTAAGCAAGAGCTGCAGGATATTTCATCAGAGACTGAAATCTAGGACCAAGTTCACATCCTGTGTAGGTCCTTTAGATTTCATGTTAACATATATATATGTGTGTGTATGTGTATATATATATATATATATATATATATATATATTTCCTTGATTTGCTCGAGTGGACCCAGTAACGTCTCCGTCGTGAGACTTGTTTGGCATATTGAAGACATCACGGGGAGCTTGCCAGGCTCTGCCGTGCGGGCGAGATACTCTCGGTAGCTTGCCAGGCTCTCCAGGAGGGGCGGAGGAATCTCGGGTTGGCCATGTTGGCTGCTTGTAAGGCAAATGCCCTACTGTTGTGCTATCGCTCCAGCACAAAATCCCACTGTCACTGTCACTGTCCTCCCATTGTTCATCAGTTTGCTCGAGCGGGCCCAGTAACGTCTCCATTGGAGACTTTGTTGTTACTGTGTCTGGCATATCGAATACTCTCGGTAGCTTGCCGGGCTCTCCGAGAGGGGTGGAGGAATCGAACTCGGGTCGGCCATGTTGGCTGCGTGCAAGGCAAACGCCCTACCGCTGTGCTATTGCTCCAGCCCATGTATATGTGTGTGTGTGCATATTTATATTAGTTGTAGCTTTTATTTTTAATAATATAGGGTTTTAGAAATCATGGGAATATCTAAAGATTGATTAAATAATTTTGCTTGACCTTCTTTTTTTCCCCCCAAGTTTTATTTATTGAATCACTGTGGGAACAGTCACAAAGCCTTTCAATTTAAGTCTCAGTCGGTCATACAATGACCAAATACCCATCACTTCACCAGTGCACATTTTCCACCACTAAGAACCCTGGTATGCCCCCCCCCCCCGCCAACCACTCCTCGCCACCTGTGTGGCAGATTTCCACTTTACTCTCTCGCTCTGTGTAGATCACATTCAGTATTATGACAAAATACCCAGTATTATTATTTGGAATTTTCTCCCAACATTCAGACCTGCCAAAAAGACATCATTAGGTAATTTGTTTTCGATTGCTGATTATGAAGAGCATATGAGGTCGTGTGGCCACATTATCGGCCATGCGATTTTGGATTTCTGATATTTTAGTAATAAGCCTAGAGGGATTACTGCCAAAAACCCCTGGGTTCCGAGATTGTTTTGTGTGCCTCTGGGATCATGGTCGTTCAGGAGCCAGAGGAGGCATTTGTGGGTGGTAACCCAGGGCCTTGTAAGGGCAGGGAGCAGGGCCGATTCCATCCCCCATCCCCCGAGGCCCTGTGTGCTTCATCAGTGCAGCCCAATACCTGGCTGTCTATTAGGCTCCAAAAGATGGAGGCCACCATACCGTGACCGCAAGGGGGGACAGGTGGAGGGACAAATTCTCTTCCCCTCCCAGGGTGGCATAGCACCGTAGTTAAATGCACAGGCCAGATATGTTTTGGTTGGCCATTATATTTTGCTCAAATTTTCCCACCACCATTCAAGCCTGCCTCCCAGGGACAGACGCTAGATCGTTTCTTTCCATTGCTCACTTTGCATATCAGGAAATGTCACGCTTATGCGGCTGTGAGGTTCGGAAGAATAGTCTGGCGCCCACATACAGGAGACATGTTTGTAGAAGCTCATGGTCACCGGGATTCCATCTGGAGAAGGCGGGGAGACCCCATCTGGGACCTCGCGGTGATATCAGCTCAGGATGGGGCCCGGAGAATTCTCCGGGAGTTGTGGAGCTCGCTGGCCAGTTTTCTGTGCTGCTGTGTGCTGAAAGATGGTGCTGGGGGCGGGTTGTGGGCGTGACTTTCGGGATCTGGGACCGACTGGGAGCCGGGGCGGAACTGCCAGGCCTGGCATCCCCATGCGGTTTGGAAAAATATCTGGTGCCCGCATACGGGAGTCATGCTTGTAGAAGCTCATGGTCGCCTGGAAAGGCGGCTGCTTCACCTTCTTGATTGAAATTTTTTAGATCTATTACAAAGAACCAATGTGAAGACCAGACATAGTCACATAGATGATGTGTTAAATGTAAGTGCAAATGTTCGTTAAGAAATTGTACATGTATTCTGATTCACTCTAAATTAAGCCATACTTACGAAGAACATCTAGGACAGAAAATCCAGAAGGTAATTAGATTAGCATGGAAAGAAGAATAGGTGAAGTTTTCTAATCATCTTCTTTATTTGCAAAATATTCTCTATGATTGGTATATTATGTAAAATATGGACACTTACTACCTTTTAGTTTCTGTGGGTCAGGAGGCTGGCCTTGTTGCTTGTGTCAGTGGACACTCGGAGACCTGCTGCTCTGCCCATAATACAGGGTCGCCATCAGTGTGTTCAGTCTGTTGCTTTTAAATCCAGAAGCTTGGTTGGGGAAATCTCTGCTTCCAGGTTTATTCTTGTTGGTAGAGTTCACCTGAGACACTACATTTCATTGGTGTTGTC